TCCACTCCTGTGTGCCCAAAAATATTAGATGAAAGACTTATATGGATTCACCACTCAGTATATCCATATTTTTCAGCTGACACAACACATGTAGAGAAGACAAATGAGGAGAGAAAATCTCAGTGTTACTGTTAGTCCTGTGCTTTCAGCTGGAGACTTGGGAAGGAATTTGCTAGTTCTACAGAACTCCAAGCAGATATGAAGGAGAACAGATATGGTCAAGAAGGGATGGTGTGAGTGCGTGTCTGTGTGTGGGCAAGTGAGAGTGTGTGTGAGCATGTGGGAGTGTCTGCGTGCATGAGCATGTGTGACTACGTGCATGTGTGTGCATGAGTGCATGTATGTGAAAGTGTGTATTGCATGAGAGTATGTGTGAGTGTAAGTGTGTATATGTGTGTTTGTGTGTGTGTGTCTGTGAGTGTGTGTGTCAGTGAGTGTGATTGTATGTGTATGACTGTGTTCATAGGGTAACTGCACCTGTCTTGCTGAGGGAAGCAGAAGGGGAAACTGAGGTTGGAGGGTCATATGTGGATGATCATGAACAGCTGTCAGTTCAGAAGAAAGAGTCTAAGTTTACCCAAAACGCAATGAGGAGCATGGAAGGATTTTCAGCAGAATGGGCAAATTCTGAAAGAGTTGGAAAGAGTGATGTGGAGGGTGAACTGCACAAGAGTGAGCACGTGGGACTGAGAAGCCAGGCAGGCGGTGGATGTGACCGCTGCCTTGGGGACATGAAGGGTGACCTTCCCTTCCTGCCTTGTTGACTGTAGACCCCAAGGAACCCTCACGACAGTGGACCAGGGGGTGGTGGCAGGGACAGTCTGGGGTCTGTGCAAACACTCTGCTCCTGCCGGAGAACTCAGACTTTCCTCCTGGACCTGGAATGTAGGGGCTGCATCTGAAACTGTTTCCACCCAACACTGTCCCTTTGAGAAGTGGGATCTTTCTCTATTTCCTTGGGGTAAATAATTTAGGTCATTTCTGCTTCTTCAGAGGAGTATTGATGTTGGGCATCACTCTCTTCTTGAAACTCCAGAGACTCTTCAGGATTCAGGAAAAAAATTGATATTCATGGGAGTTCTGTTAGAGGCAGAAAAACACACCACACACTTTAAATGTCAGCTGTTGCAGTACCACATCCTGAATGGCTGAAGGATCCTTGAGCATCCTGCTTCTTCTGTTGCTCTCACTTCCCCAATTCATAGCCCAGCGATACCAACCCCAACCCCACAAGTGTGATCAGAATTAACCTACCTGAGATTTGGGGGAAAGGAAACCAGCCATTCACATTTAGGTGGAGACGTTGGAGGTTTGAGAAACTGAAAAGCAGAGATACGTTGTCCAATGGAGCAGAAGGAAAGATCAGACTCAGACCACAGTGCAGAGTCACATGATCATGAGAGAGCCCCTCACAGTGCAGTGGGCAGCTCCGGGTCCTTCTTTCATGGGTGCTGGATCAGCTTGGGAGTCTATGGAGCAAGGTGAACTTCACACCTTTGTCACTCCATGCATAAAATCAATGTTAGCTGGATGACAGAATGAGGAATAAATCAATTCAATTTTTTTAGCAAAACATGTAGAAAATATCTTTTTCTCTTTCTGTGACGCTTTTAAAAAAATCATTTTTATTGCTATTCTACTATAGTTGTCCCACTTTTCCCTCTTTTCCCCCCTTTGCCCATCCCACGCCCTTGTTAGCACAGTCAATGCCTACACTGTTCTCCATGTCTGTGGAGACATTCATACATGTTCTTTGTGTCGTCCCTTCCCCTTTTTCCCACCATTATCCCTCAGCCCCCTCCACTCTGGTCACTGTCTGTCCATTCCTCGTTTCCGTGACTGTGGTTGCAATTTCTTCATTGGTTTATTTTGTTCATTCAAATTGTCTTATAGGTGAGATCATATGGTATTTGTCTTTAACCAATTGCCTTATTTCACTTAGCGTATTAGTAGTCCCCAGTTCCATCCATGTCGTGGTGAAGGGAGGAGTTCTTTCTTCCTTTATGCTGCTTAGTGTTCCATTGTGTAAATGAACCATAGTTTTTTGATTCATTCATTTACTGATAGGCACTAGGGCTACTTCCAGCGCTTGGCTATTGCAAATAACCCTGCTACAAACATAGGGGTAAAAAATTTCTTTTGAATTGGTGAATAGTGATTCTTAGGTATATTTCCATGGGAGTGAGGAGTGGAATGGATGGAGGAACACAAAGGGGCAAAACGAGGATGACTGTAATAGAACAACAATAAAATAATGAAACATACACAAGTTAGAGATGCAGATCAGTTTGCTCTGGATGAGGGTGGAGCTGTCCAGGACCCAGTGCTGAATTCTCACCACCTCTTGGGATTCACATACAAAAACGGAGAGAATCAGGGGAGATTGAGTTGACCCACGGTTTTGAGGAAAGCCTCGTAGATACACGTGCAGATGGATGTTCAAGGCTGGACTCAGTCTGGGTCAGCATGACCGCTGGACAGTAGATGAGCTGTCCTGACTTGGGGATTGCGTGATGGCTATTGTGAATTCGCTTTGCAGTAACAGGTTTGTGCTGTTCTCACATTAGGAAAAGGGGAAAAGTCTCAGTGGACCTTGTTGTAGCAGAGCTTTGAGGATTTGTTTTTCGGTTATTAAAGTGACGTTCAAGAGGCAAAGTGACAGGATGTGGTGGGCAGGGTCCCCACACCACAGTCTGTATCGTGCAAGGTGAATGTCACACAGGAAGGAGACCAGCTTCTTCTCACACTGAAACTAGCAGGTGCTGAGGGACTGACCTGAGCCACAGCTTTAAACACCCTTCATGCCTAAGGTGTCACATTTAGTTTTCCTGATCTCTTCCATCATAGGAGGATTTTGACTGAGATTGCTGTTATTGGAAAGTCATAACAATTATTCAGTTCACAAAATCAATATTCCCTGATAAAGCTAATGTAGAAAACAATAATACAAGACTATTTTCAGGAGAAATATGAAATTTGTCTCCCACATAATGTTTATTATGTCTAGTACCACTTGCATATTTTGTACTCTCTTGAGAAAGAGAAAGCAGTTTACTGGATAGTTTAATTCTGCATTTCTAGGAGAGAAGAAAACTTGCAATGTTTTGTTTTTGCTGAAATCATTTGTTGTGTGTGAGTGAAAACCCAGTTCCTCCTTTCACTATGGAAAAGTAGGGAGAGAGGGAGAAAGAGAAAAGAAAAGAGAAGGGAAGGGAAGGGAGTTTGGTAAAGTTGTTTCAACAAATTATAACTAACTGCTTGGCTCCAGACAACAGAATTATTTTTATTGTGACAGAACTGGAGTCCAGAGAGATAATAGACAGATGGAGATATATAAATGAATAGATACATAGGTACATAAATAGATAAACAGAGAGATAGAAGGATAGAGAGATAATGGGAGAAGCTGACACGCAGATACATGGACACAAAGATAGTAAATGAAAGGATTCATTTTAGATAGAATCACAAACTCTTCAACACTTGCAGTTGTCAGAGTTCACTGTCTTTCTCTGCTGTAGGTAAGTGTTTCCTACATCAGAGTGTGAGTGTGGGGCGAGAGGTGAGTGGAAGAGGGCAAGGGGAAAGTTGTGAGAAAGCTGTAATAGAATAAAAATAATAAAAACTAAAGCAAAAAAAACCCCTTAAAATTTGCAACAATCACTTCCAGGTTTATTGGTTTACAACTGACATATAACATCATGTAAGTGTAAGATATGCAGTGGGTTGATTTGACACATTTATATATTGCAATATGATACCACCTCAGCTTTAGCAAACAATAATATGAAGAAGTCATATAACTGCCACTTATTTTTTGTGGTTAGAATATTTCAGATACACTCTCATAGCCCCTTTCCAGTATATAACACAGTCTTGTTAACTGTAATCACCATACTTTCCGTTAGACCCCCCAGGAAGTGGTAATCTCGTAACTAAAAGTTGGTGCACTTTGACCCACATCCCTCCTTTTCCCGCTCTCCCCATGGTAACCATCATTCTGCCGTCTGTTTCTACACATTTGGCCTTTCTAGATTCCACATATACATGAGCTCATTCAGTATTGCTCTTTCTCTGTATGATCTGCTGGAGTTAAGTAAATGCCCTCCAGATCCAATCATATTGTCTCAAATGGCAGGATTTTTTCTTTTATTTTTATTGTTGACACTTCGCAGATGTCCCCAATCCCCCACCTTCTTTGCCCACCTCCACCCAGCACCTGCACCCTCCCTCTGGCCTCATCACCCTGTTGTCTCTGTCTGTGGGTCATGCATGTCTGCTCTTTGGCTGATCCCTTCACTTCCCCTAATCCAGTCACCTCTCTCACTCCCCTCTGACAGATGTCCATCTGCTCCATGGGTCCAGGCTTCTGTTCCTATTTTATTTTTCTTTCTCATGGTTGAACAGTATTCTATTTTATATATAATCAAGCTCTGGAGGAAGCCCACAAATCGTGTCCTTATTTAACATCATAATTTCTTTGAGATGGCACCTCACTAAGCTGTCTCTTCAAACGCCAAGTGATGACCATTCTGGGGAAATAGCACACGTGGCATCTGGTGAAGATGGGAAGGATTGTAGGGTCCAGAGAGGGTGATAGGCACCAGTTTGTATTCATCTTTCCAGAGTCATATCTAATTTTTTCCATTTATTGATTAATCCTGTGAACTGAGGAGATATTTGTCAATAACATCCATCTGGTCAGGTAGTTCTTAGAAACAAAGAACATTTTATTACATAAAACTGGAAGAGAATATCAGGTTGTAGATGTGTGGACACAAACAGCCATGTGGGAAGGACCCTCATGACTTAGGGGTGAAAAAAGAACGGGGGTCATTACAGGGAGCCAAGGGTAGAGGGAGAGAACACACAGATTTAATGGAGGAAGAGTCCTGCACAGGGAGCACTCAGACACTCCCTCACCCACACCTTGTTCAGTCCCCTGGACAAATCAGCAGAGCGTTCCCCACCTGGGGTCCAGGCTGTCCTTCACCACCTCCTGGGTCATCCCATGGGCTCCACGGCTCCCCCACTCTGGACGGTGCCCCGTTTCCTCTGTGCTCACGTCTCAGTTTCATCCTGGGTCCTTCCGTCACTGTTTAAAGCCTGAAACAGCAGGGCCTCGAACCCCATGAGCATCAGTCCAGCCAAACCCAAGCGGATGAGATTCTCCATTGTGTGGTCCTGGGGGCTGGAGGCTAGGAATTGTGGAAGGAAAGGTCACAGAGGTAAGAGCAGGCCAAAGTCACCCCAGAATCTAGGATGTTCACCTAGTGCACCTGTTTTCCTCTGGCAGGACATGACCCTCTGCACACAGTCCCATAGGTGAGAGTTTCTCCTACTCCCCACTCCTGGGGTCTGACTTGTTTTGTGATGGGTTGATGGCATTGGAAGCCCCTGAGAATCCTGAAATGTGGGTGTGAGTGAGGACTTGGGGAGACACAAGCCTTCCCCCTAGGGTCTGTGCTCTCAGTAGCCTGAAATCTCAGATTACAATATTTACACGGTCATGTAATGAGCTCTGTCTCTACTCTGCCAGGTTCCCTGTCTCCTCCTTGGATTATCTCAGCCTCTTGTGATCTCTGAACCTGCACAGATTTATTTTGGGCCAGAGTTTACTGTGCACCATGGCTCACAATTAGTAATAAATGGTCACAGCGTGGAAATGGTTGAGTGCTGTGTTCTGTGTTCCATCTGAGAGGCAGATCCCAGACGCTTGTTCTGCTGAAGCCAAGATCCCAGTAACTCAACAGCTGATGAGCCAGGGTCCATGGTTAAAGGGTGGTGTCAGGGGGTTCCAAATATCCTCCTGCATGGACCCTGTAAACTCCCTCATTTATTACTGTTTAATACTCTGAAAATAATGGATAAGGTTTGTGTCCCCTCACCTGAGACCAGGAGCTCCAGGGCTCCCCACAGCGGTGGGGAGGTGCTGTGTGAGCTGCAGCACCTGTACGTTCCCCCATGGGCTGCTGTCATGGGACTACTCATGAGGAATGGTGGGAGGAGAGAATGGGCTGATCCTTCAATGGACAATGGAAAGTGTTTCTCAGGTTCTGTGACTGACACAGCAGGATCCCCTGCTCTTCTAAGGTCACCATGAGGCCTTGCTGGACCAAGAGGGATGACCTGTCATGGAGCTGTTCTAGAAAGAGGGAGGTCAGGTTAGGCTGCAGCTCTGCCTTCCTGACATTGTGAGGCCCCTTATGTCACCTAATGTCACCACAGGCCTTTGATCAGGAAGGGACCAGGGATGAACAGACATGAACCCAACAGTCGGGAAAGAGGGGGTCACCAAGCCCCACAGTGAGAGCAGCAGATCTGGGACCCAAACCAGGACTGACTCCAGCCCTTGTTCCTTCCTCAGCTAAGCATCTGAGCTGAGGAAAGGGCCTGAAACACTGAACCATGTCTTGTCAGTCCCTTGTCCCTCCCTGTATGTTGTCACCATCATTGCTGCAGAGGGGACAGGCCCCATAACATCACGTACTGGGTATTTCCCTGTGAGGTCCCCCTCCCAAGAGGCCAGAGTCAGACTGAAAAGTAATCTAAGCTCTGGGCCACGATTCTCTCCTTTTACACTTGGAGACACTGAGGCACAGAGAGAGGAAGGGCGTGTCCAAGTCAGAGCCTCCAGAGGTGCCTGAACTTCCCAGGACTCAGCTGCCATTCTCCATGGACACACCTACCACCTGCCCCCACCCCCCGGAGATCCTCACTTACCGCTCTGCTGGTCGGACTCTTTGTTGGGGAGGGACCGTTCCTCAGAGACTTCTGGAAATTCAGGATGGGGTGAGAGGTGGGGCTATGTTCTTCCCACTTGAGCCTGGCTCCTCCCCCAGCCCAGGACACAACATGTTCCTCTGTCGTGACTGCCCTTCCTGTCACCTGCCAGCCTCAGAGCCCTGGGGCCTGTGTTTTCAGCATGTCTGGCTTACTCCCAACCCCTTGGGACACACACGCAACCGTAGTACCTTGGTGACACGTAACCCCTTGATGGACTCTCAGGTCTTCCCTAGGCTGCTTTGTGCTCCCTCTGAACAGAGTTTTCAGGGACTCACCAGCTGTGGGGATGGGCCCTGTGGTTGAGGGTCTGGGGCCTCCAGAGGGTCCTGAGAATGAGGACAGGAGGGGGTGAGGGTCTGGGACTCTCTGGGGTCAGCAGATCACCAAGACTCTCCTACATCTGCTCACGCCCCCTTCCAGATATGCCTCCAGCTCAATTACCGCCTGATACCAGGTGAAGATGGGGGTAGACAGGACCTAGAGGGACTCTGAGGTGCAGAACTCTGCTGGGTGACCATCAATCAGAGTCCCTCACTCACTGAATTCTGATGTCTTCTGGGGACAGGACCCTGAGCTGACTGTGCTCTGACAGTCTGGCGTCAGGCACCTCACCTGAGACCAGTAGATCCAGTGGGTCACTGGGGTGAGACCACTCCAGGGGGTACTTCCTAAAATATCCATAGCATCTGAACGTGCCCCTGTGGCTGGAGGTCATGGGGCCCACAGGGAACAGGACCTGGGACTGCCCACTGGTATGCGGCTGTGAGTCCAGGGTCCAGGAGAGCCTGCGTTCTCCTTCCTTAATCAGAGTGAACCTGTCCAATTCCTCCCCTGAGCCACACTGGAGGGTCACGTTGCCTCCTGAGGTCACGACAGGGCTGGGCAGGGCTGAGAGGCTGGGTTTCCCATGGAATCCTATGAGAAAAGGAGGGGGAGTGTTAAATAGGGCTCAACCTCCCTCTCGTCCCTCCCCAGCTGGGTTGTGATGGGAAGACACCCTGAGGGCATCCCCCTTCCTGAGGGCAGAGCCTTGGGCAGGGACCCCTGGGTGTCCTCTCACCTGTCACCACCAGCTCCAGGGGGTCACTGAGCTCTGACCAGCCCGTGGGGCTGAAGTATTTACAACAAAATCTCCCTGGATAGACGTCTTCCATGAAGAACTTCACTTTGTCACCAGGAACCAGAGGTTTCTGTCTTCCCAAAGGTATATCTGTTTCTTCATTATACAGGTGGTACTCCTGGGCCTCCAGTGTCCCCTGACACCAGATGGTCACAGAGCTCCTCATGGGTATCACAGAGCCAGGCTCAGCTCCAATGGTAGGTCTGGGGAGGGTCCCTGGAGGAATCAGAGGCTGTGCTAGAAAGACCTTCCTCACCCCTCATTCCCCAGCCCAGCCCACATCCCCCCTCTTTTATCCCCTCATCCCAGGACCTCTGTGTTCCCTCCTGAGTCCCAGGGGTGGAGTAGGAGGTGGGGAAAAGGGCCTGGGGAGGACTCACCTGCCTGCACGTGTGTTTTCTGGCCCAGACTCAGCTCTGGAAAAGAGTCCCTGTCAGATTTGCACCCAGTTGTCTGAGCTGACTCCCTTACCTCAGATCCCCATAACTCCAGCTGCCTGAATTCTGAGCTTCCCCAGGAACAAGCATATGCAGCTGCCCCATCCCTTCCTGCTGCTGCTTCCCCATGCCCACAACTGACCAAGGCAGAGAAGAGCAGGGAGGATGGACACCATGCTGTCCACTCTGAGTGCTTCCCCTCTGCAGTGGTCAGGATCCTGGGCCTGAAAGACAGAGACGCGCAGGATGTGGTCAATCAGGGCTGCTGCCACCCTTCCGGGTTCCCACCTCTGTGGACCCACAGCAAGGGGACGGCCCCTACCTGGGCCTGGCTCTGAGATTTTCCATGACAAGGTCTCAGGAGGACTGCTTGCCTCCTGGAGACACTCAGCCCAGATATTGGGTCTCTTTTCACCCCCAGGACCCTCTGCCTGTTCTGTGCTCTTGCCCTGAGATGGGGGGACCCAGGCTCTGATCCTTCATCAGCCCTCAACAGCCTGACTCTTAATAAAACTCTCTACTTTTCTTTTTCTCATCTTACCACAATGGGCATTTACTTTTGGTCTGACTCTTCCATGAACTTATATTTACTGAACACCTAGTATAGTCGAGTATTCGTGCTAGAACCAGAAATACATTCATGATCCAGGAGATTGATTTTCTGTATCTTGAGAACTCTTCTTAGCAGAAAATAAGCATTCTAAGACTAAAGAGGAAATGGTTTTACTTATACTGAAGAAATGAGAAAAAATGTGAGAGTACCTGGAACCATGACCAGGCTGTGGTTGAGGGAACGGCTATTTTTGAATCCTCATTGAAAGATATATCTTCTAATTTTTTTAAATTTTTATTTTTTAATTTATAAATCATGTTTATTCTATTACAGTTGTCTCAATTTTTACCCCTTTACTCCCCTCCACCTACCCCACCCACCCCCTGCTCTCACAGTCAATTCCCAATCTCTTGTCCATGTTCATGGGTCATTTATACATATTCTTTGTCTAATCCCTTCCCCTCCTTTCCACCATTGTCCTCTTTCCTCATTCCCTCTGGTCACTTTCAGTCTGCTCCATGTTTCCATGCCTGTCATTTATTTTGTTTGTTAGTTTATTTCATTGAATAGAGTCCACTTATAGGTGAGATCATATGGTATTTGTATTTCATCAACTGGCTTATTTCACTTAGCTTAATATTCTCCAGTTCCATCCATGTTCTCTGAAAGGTAGGAGTTCTCTCTCTCTCTCTCTCTCTCTCTCTCTCTCTTTCTTAAGTGTAGATTGATTTTATTTATTTTTTAAATGTCAAAGTTCATTATAAAATATTAAAAACATTTAAAACCATTATAAAGTCTCAGCAATTAAACCAACATGACACGAGCACAGAAATAATCAAGTAGATTAATGAAATAGAATGAACATTCTAGAGACAAATGTATATATCTGTCTAACAATGTAATATATGATTAAAGTGATATTTCAAATCAATGGGGAAAATAAGGCTTATTCAACAAGTAAAGTGCATGAACCACTATTACTTGAAATAAAACAAAAATACAGCCCTATTTCACACATGATACAAGAAATATTCCGGTGACTTAAAAATCAATATGTAGAATCTGAGGAGTTTTAGAAGAAAATAGAACTAATATTTTTCATGACCGGAAGTGAAATTTTCAACCCCAGAAGATATAAAGTAAGTATTGACAATATGACTATGTTAAACATTTAATTATATAGTAATATACATATAAAAAAGTTAAAGGACAAGGAATAGACTAGGAAAGTATTTGCAACACATCTAAGACATGGTTAATAGGGTTTTTTTTTGTTTGTTTTTTCAGGGAAAAAGTTCTACAAACCTTTAATCAATAAATGGATAAGGAATACCAAAAAGCCATTTAAAGCTTTTTAAAAAATAATAGAAATAGGCAAAAATATACAAAAACAGGTTTAGTTTCAACAAATAGTAAAGGAACATTTAAAATAACATCATTGTCACAATCAGATTAATGAGTATTAAAAATATTGGTAATATCAAGTATTGGCAACTCTGAAAGGAACTAGGTATTCATAGAAATATTTTCTTCATCTTAATTAGTCCCTTTAGCATATCTTGCAGTGCTGGTTTGGTGGAGATATATTCTTTTAGCCTTCTTTTATCTGGGAAACTCCTTCTTTTGCCTTCCATTTTAACTGAGAGCCTTGCTGGGTAGAGCAGTCTTGGTTGCAGGCCTTTGCTTTTCATGACTTGGAATATTTCTTGCCAGTCCCTTCTGGCTTGCAGTGTTTCTGTTGAGAAGTCAGATGCTGGTCATATTGAGGCTCCCTTATATGTTACTACCTCCTTCTCCCTTGCTTGTTTTAGGATTCTCTGTTTGTCTTTGCTGTTTGCCATTGTAATGATGATGTGTCTTGGAGTGGGCCTCATTGGGTTCCTCTTGAATGGGACCCTTTGTGCTTTCTGGACTTGTGTGACTTTTTCTCTCCTCCAATTAGGGAAGTTTTCCATCATGACTTTTTCAAACAGGTTCTATATCCCTTCCTCATCCTCTTCTCCTTCTGGTATCCCTATAATACGGATATTATTACATTTCAGGTTGTCCTGCATTTCCCTAAATGCCTCTTCATTTTCTTTTTTAGTCTTTTTTCATTTTCTTGCTCATTCTGGGAGCTTTTTTCTACCTTGTTCTCCAGCTCACTGATTCCGTCCTCAGCAGCCTGCTTTTGATTCCTTCTACTGTGTTCTTTATTCAGAAATTGTATTCTTCATTTCCTCTTGCCTCTTATTGATAGTTTCTATGTCCTTTTTCATGCTGATACAGTTTGCAGTAAGTTCCTCGTAGTTTCCCTGTAGTTTTTTGTAATCCTCTCTGAGCTCACTGAGCTTCCTTAGAACCGTTGTTTTGAACTCAGTATCTGAGTGTTTACCTACCTCTATTTCATTCAGTTCTCTTTGTAGGGATTCCTCCTTTCCTTTCGAGTGGGGCATATTTCTTTGTCTTCCCATTATTTGTGAGACTATTCTCTTTTGCGTCTGCTTATTAAATTGATCTGTCTTGATTTCCTGACTTTGTGGTGTGAACCTCTGTGGTTGGAGACTGCTGTTTTTACTTTTTGGATGTGAGATATTGGCCCTGTCTGACCTTAGGCAGTCTGTTCGAGACATCCAGGAATCTACTGTCTGTCGCTGTCTTCTTCAGCTGTTAATCTAGTCACTCTTCACTCAGCAGATCACCTTAGACAGCTCAGGGTGGGGCAGAGTCCCTCCTGGGGGTGGGGTTATTGAGTCCTCTCCCGCTGCTGCCATATGGGGGAGGAATCTGCACTGGGATCCTGCCAGCTACTCTCTCCATTCTCTCCCCAAAGCCTTCATCCCCAGTCTCTCCTCAAGTGTTTCCAGATCTCTCTGTGCCCCCTTTAGCCAGGTATCACTGTCTGTATGTGCCACTCTGCACTCAGCAGGCAGCTTAGACAGCACCAGGCAAGGTGTCATCCCGCCTCGGGGTGGGACTATTGGGTCCTTTGATGCTGGTGCCGTTCAGAGGGAGTGGTCTCTGCCTGAGCAAGATGGCTGCTGCCGTATAGAGGATGAGTCAACACAGAGATCCTGCCAGCCACTCTCTCAGTTCTCTCCCCAAAGCCTCCTTCCCCAGTCTCTCCTCAGGCATCTCTAGCCCACTCTGCCCCCGCCTTTGCTGGAGACCAGGGTAAGTGGCTGCAAATAAAAATTTACATGTCGGTCCTTTAAACTGTTCTTTGCATCTCCAGCCACCGGTCTCTGGCAGAGAGAAACCCTGCCGCTTTTCATAGCTGGCTGTTTTCTATGTACTTTTTGGGCTCTGGTGTTGTGGGCGAGAGATCCCCACATTTGGTTCAGACCCCACTCTTCTCAGGGGGGTCCAATTGGCGGTTTCAATATCTTTCTGGTGCTGCTGCCCGTGGGCACCCTGTCCTTCTTCTCAAATCTCTACTGCACTCCTTACCAGTTAGATTGCACTAAAACCGATTCTTCTGTCTCCGAGGTTACAAGGCTCCTCTCTCGCTATTGTTGTTTGTTCCAGGTGATTTCTTCACAATTTAGTTTTAATTCCAGGTTGGTCCTGGGAGGAGATCAGTTTGACTTCCACTTACTCCTCTGCCATCTTGAATATCCCCTTCTGATTTTATAGAGAGAGGAAATGAGAGACAGGCAGACTGACATTGATGAGGGAGAGAAATATTGATCGGTCATGCTCTCCTATGTGCCCTGACTGGGGATGGAACCCACAACCTCCTGGTGAATGGTTGACACTCTAAGCAAGGAAGCCACTAGGCCAGAGCTGAGGGAAGTGCTGTTTAATGAAGTGGAACCCTAGGGACTGGGAGTGACAATATTCTTGAGAGGAAAGAGTATTATAGAGAATTCTAGACACAGAGACTCTCTGACAGCAGTGAAGGAGGGTGACATGGTGGCTCGTGAAGGGCAGGCTCTCCACTGCACAAGGATGTTGGATTAAGTCTGTGAGGCAAAAGCATATACAGGAATGAACTGTTAAGGTCAAAGTGATCTATGAATCTCATTTGGGCCGTGTATTACAAAGGAGTAGAGCAAGGCAATATGTGTAAATAACATAATGTCACCAGTAATTGAACTACAATCCTGTGTGTCCAACAATATTAGATTAAATGCTTGCATGGATTTATCACACAATCCGTGCACATTTTTAGCTGTCACAACACATGTGGAGAAGAGAAATGAAGGGAAGAAATCTCAGTGTTATTTATTGTCCTTGCTTTAAGCTGGGGGTTTGGGAAGGAATCTTCTAGTTCTATAGAACTCTAAGATAGCAGATAGGAAAGAAAACAGAGATGGCCAATAAGAGATGGTGTGAGTGTGTCTGCCTCTGTGTGTAAGTGTGTATGTGTGTGAGTATATAGGTGTTAGTGGGTGACTGTGAGAGTGTATATATGTGTAAGTCCATGTGTGTGAGTGTGTGCACATGAGTGTGCATGTGTGTCAGTTTATATATTAGAATGTGTGTGCATAGGGTGAGTGTGTGTTCATGAGTACACATGTGTGCTCTGTGAGTATGTGTATATGTGTCTGAGTGTGTTTGTGTATGTGTATGTGTGACTGTGGGTATGTGTGAGTGTGTATGTGTGTAAGCGTGTGTCAGTGTGATTGCATGAGTGTACCA